TCTATAGAGCCACAGACAGTGAACATGCTATGGAAACAGGTGCTGTACTCTATTGTTAGATGAACAGTAGTAAGAGAAAATGAATGTAAGCAGACTATACATTCAGTCCCCACCCCAAATATTTTCAGATCTGTGGACAGCTAAATCTGTAAGTTTCAGAACTCTGGACTATGGTGAGATATTGTTTATGATCTAGTGAAGCTTGTCTGCAGATCAGAAGGCAAAGCTGGCCACAGCCATAGAGGCCAGGCAGTGGTGGCACACACCTTTAATCCCAGGACTCAGGAGACAGAGGCAGATGGATCTCTGTGAGCTCAAGGCCACCCAGGGCTATATGAGAGAGAATCAGCCTAAAAGAGAAACAGAGCCCATGCCTTTAATCCCAGCACTAGGGAGGCATATAAGAAGGAGCCCAGGGTCTTAGTTGGCATTTGGTATTCAATTAGTCTCCAGTCACATCGAGGACACCTCTCCAGTCCTGGCAGAGATAAGAGCTGTCTGGTGGCTTGTCTGCGTTGCTTCTCTGATCTTCAGCTTGAACCTTGATATCTGTGGCTGGGTTTTTATTATTAGTGCTACACTGGACAGAGTGAGTATGCTGTGTCATGGGCAGTTGTGACTGGCAGGAGCTTGGAAACAAGTTGCCATAGATGGTGCCCTGTACTTTAGCTGTAGTTGAGTGTGTGGCATAGATTCATGAGTAGCTTGTTCTGGCACTGGGGTCACACCTCCCATGTGGCTCTGTAAATGGGATGGATGAAAACATTCCTTGGTATGTCGAAGAGAGTGATGTAATAGAAGAAATGATTTATATAGGAGTAGAAATGACAAAAAGCCAAAAGGAGGTGACAAGGCAGCCTAGGGTCAGCAGCGTGGGAAAACAGGAGTGATGACCAGCTCCAGAAAGGACACTCTAGAAGGTTCTCAATGACAAGATGGAGTTGTGGGAATAAGTTCACTCCGTGAGGTTTTTAAGACCCAGGGAAAGCATAAGTGGTACCAATCACCAGAAGAGGCATAAAGAACGAGGGAGGAAATGTCCCGTTCCTCCCGTCCTCCAGTGTCTCACTCCTGCTACAGACTCCCAGGAGACAGAAGGCAGAGGTCATAGGGGAAGGGCCCCTGTGGTAACAATACAGGGCACGACAGGGGAAGGATGGGGGAATGGAGTACTGGTCTGCCTCTGCTGTTTGTAGTACTGGTCTGCATCTGCTGTTTGGAGTACTGGTCTGCCTCTGCTGTTTGGAGTACTGATCTGCATCTGCTGTTTGGAGTACTGGTCTACCTCTGCTGTTTGTAGTGTGCATCAGAACTAAGAAGAGGGGAAGGGGTAAAGGTGTAATGTAAAGCTGTTAGAGGAGCCCACTCGGGAGCTTTCCCTGTTGCCCTTCAGCACTCCACAGAACTCCTAATCGCACTAGTCCTTGCTCTCATCTCCTTCTGACAAGACTTTTCTAACTTAAGCAGAAGTGTCTTTAATTTGCTGGGTCTCAGATGTCTTCCTGTCATCATTGGCTCTGTCAGTTGACATGTAGATCCTCCTCCAACACCCGACTTTCCTTTCTATTCTCTCAGCCAAGATTCTTCCAAGGGAAGCATGCATATGGTCTCCCCCACTTCCTGAAGTTCGTCTTATGCTGCCATTTACCCTCACCACCCTTAAATGCAGCAAGGGTTTTCAGGAACACATCCTACCAAATTCAAAATAACCTCCCTTTACAAAACTTGGCTGCTGGATTTGATTCTGGTGACCTTTCCTTCAAGTTCTTTCCCTACACACCTTTGTGAGACTAGGCCCTCTGAACTTCCCTTCCCTTCTGTGTTTAAGGAGGAAGTATATGGCGGTACGTCTCTATACACGTGGGTGTATGCGTGGAAGCCAGAGGATAAACTTCAGGTGACATTCCCCCAGGAAACTGCCCATCTTATTTTGAAACAGGGGCTCTGTTTCGCCAGGAGCTCACTGATTTGGCTAGGCTAGTTGGCCATCATGTCCCAGGAATCTGTGTGTCTACACTTTTGCAGACTGAGATAGCAAGTGTGTACCACTTTGGTCAGCTTGTTTATATGGGTTCCGGGGATAACATTAAGTTCTTGTGCTCATAAAGGAGAATGACTGAACCACTGCTCTAAGTTCTCGTGCTTGTAAAGGAATATGACTGATGATTGAAACACCCCTCCAGCCTAGGGCTACAGCTATTGATAAGGAGAAGTCAGTGCCCATGAGAAGAGAATAAGAACCGTTGCTGGGGAAGCAATCAGACGCTGGTCCCAATATCACCAAGAATCCCCTTTGGCTGTAGCTGAGCGTATTTCTCACCCTGAGTTTTGTGTCAACAAAAAGAATGTGAATGCCAGTGGGATTCCTGATAGAACTAACACATTTATTTGGAAAAGGAAAACAAATCTAGTTTACCTAGTTCTGACTGGAGTGGGTACTGTCTGTCCCCACTCTCTGGCCTGGTTATAGGCCAGGTTTTGAATAATTGTCCCATTGCAAGGGAACTGAGCTGGGCATGCTTGCCCCCTTGCCAGAGGTTCAAAGGGGTTTGCATAGCTTCACACTGAAGGACTAACCCATTGGAAGAAGTTTAGTCCTTAAGTGTGAATTTTAGTGACAAATTAATGGCTACCTCCACAGAAGACAGTCTGTGCTGCTCTTTCGGATCTCTCTCTCTCTCTCTCTCTCTCTCTCTCTCTCTCTCTCTCTCTCTCTCTCTGTCTCTCTCCCTCTCCCTCTCCCTCTCCCCTAGGCCCTGGACTCCATCTGTCATCTTGTACTTCACCCAAGCTAGCTGGCTGAGACTTGCATTCCTCTCTCATTCCTGTCCAGCCTGTCTCTCTGTCTCTCTCTCTGTCTCTGTCTTTCTCTCTCTCTGTCTCTGTCCCTCTCCCTCTCCCTCTCCCTCTCCCTCTCCCTATCCCTCTCCCCTAGGCCCTGGACTCCATCCGTCATCTTGTACTTTACTCAAGCCAGCTGGCTGAGACTTGCATTCCTCTCTCATTCCTGTCCAGCCTGGGCTTTTCAGATTGAACCCTATTCTGAGCACATCATGGTTTATCTCATAGATTATCCATGACACGTCTCTGACTGGCAGTACCCATTCTTGTCTGTGTTTTGTCATCCCAAATAGAAACAGTCTAGTGCCTTGCACATAGGAAACTCGAAACTTTGAACACGGCACCAGTCTTTGCCCAACTAGTAATACCACCTTGTGCATTTGAAACGGAAAATGAAATGATGACTTATGCAAATTGGACTTAGTTACTGTGCTGGTAGAGAATCTTCAAAGGCCACATGGGGGGGGCACCTGCTGGCACCAGCCGTAGAAAGCCATGCCTCCCTTCACCTCTAGGAGAGGGGAAGAGTCCTTAAGAGTCACTCAGTGAAGGATGAACAGAGTGGGGGTGTGGAGGGGGAGCTAGAGGAGGAGCTCTTGACGAAGGGAGAGTTTCCTCCTCACTTCTCTTTTCTAGGTCCTTTCCCATCCCCAGTCTCCAGAGGAGCCCTCTCATTGGCCGAATTCAAGACTTGGGGGTTGCATCAAGAAAGTTCGCCTCAGTTTCCAGTATCTTCTTGCAATATAGGCATGGGAAGGCAAGGGTTAAAGAGGACTTAAGGGCAATGACGTCCACTGTTTGCACAAGCAGTTGTGTAGGCCCTATGTATGGAGTGAGGTTCCTTGGCATTAGGGTTAGGGACAGATGGATGATATGTGTACTAAACAGAGAGGTGATGTCACTGGGAGATCTGGGAGCTGTGGGGAGAGCGGGTCTGCAAAGGGAGTAAGCAGTCCTGTCTTATGACAGCTCAAGTGTTAAGTGAGTAACCCAGGCTGAGACAGCAAACGCTAGATGTCCTCCATAGGCATATCGTGGCTTCCAGTTTGTATGGTGGAATATGAGGCTGTGAGTATAGGTGTAAGTCACGAAGCTGGAAAGCAGACCTTGAGAGCCAGAGAAGACAGACGAGGAAGGGGACGGGAGGTGGCAGACACGTGTGAGCAGGAAGGGGAAGCTTGGCGTTTGAAGGTCACACCGCTGGGGAGACGAGAGATGGAAGAGGATCTACAAAACCAATTATGTATTCCAATGTCAGAATGAACCCCACTGCTTCTCATGCTAACTAAAGTAACAACTAACGAAGACGATCAGAGTAAGTCTTGGGGAGTCTGCGGCTGAGGCAGAGCTACAACAGGAGAAAGACAGGATCTGAACCCATGCAAGCATGGGCTGCATGAAGACACAAGCAGATTAAGTCTACAAAACTACATTCATGTAGAAAACACCATGGTGCTTTGAGACAGCTATTGTGGAATGGTCAAATTGAACAAGTTAGTACATGGCTTTATCTCACATGCTTGTTGTTTGTGTGGTGAAAAAAATAAAATTTTCTATGAAGCAATTTTCAGCAACCCATTACATTATTCCTTGTGTTCCATGCTGCAATACTCACCCTGAGTGTACCACGTTTATTCGCCCGTTCGCTCCTTCCTCTCGCTAACTCTCTTCCTCTCCCTTCTTTGTTTTTACAGACAGGATCTTGCTATTTAACAGTGGCTGATCTTTCTTAAAATGTTTTATAGATGCATATCATGCACCCTAATCCCACTCACCCATCTCCATGCCCCTCCATATCCACCCTCTGCCCTTGAAAGCTTCCAGAAGAAAACCTCACCGTGGAAGCTGGAGTGTGTCACAGTGTGCCACGCAGTACACCCTTTTGCCCAAAGAGCTTTACTTGCAAATGTGCATTGCAAAGAGTCTTTGGTCTGGTTTGGGGCCTCTGGCATCTGCTACACTATCAACAGTGAATCCTCACCGGGACTCCTCTTGGACGTCTTGCCCTGTGTCATGGTGATCCTGCAGCTTTGGATCTGCTGGAACAGCCTCTTCATGCGCTGCGGCAGTTTGTGGATGGTGTAGCAGTTGGGGTGGGGCAACTCAAAGCCCTGGGCCTGGGTTGTAGCTGAGTCGGTGAGCCTGCCCACTCTCCTGCACCTGCCCCGCCAGGGCCAGCTCTCCAGCGTTGCCCTGGTGAAGGGCAGGACCAGCTCACCTAAGTGTGCTAGGGCCAGTTCTCCATGCCAACACCACCAGGGCCAGCTTTCCAATGCTGCTCTCCTGCTCCTCTATCTTCGGGGCTGGCTCACCTGGGCTCATGCCACCAGGGACAACTCTACTGCGCTGCCCAGGCAAGGTGGGGACCTGCTCTCCTGAGTGCTGCAGCTGGTGAGCCGCGGGACGGGTTCTCCTGTGTCCAGGCCTCGAGGGGTAGGGCTGGCTGCCCAGTGCCCCTGTTGCAGGTCAGTGAGGGATGGGACTGTCTCTTGCTTGTGGCCGCCTTTGAAGGGTGGGTTAGTATAAGGGGCTGAACCTTGGCTGATCTTAAACTCAGGCATCTCTCCTGACTCTGACTTCCAAGTTCCAGGATTGCAGGTGCATGCCAGTCTGGCCAGCTTTTGAATTTATTGTCTTAGCTGAGGTTTGCATCATTTGATAAAAAATTCTACATTAAGTACAATCACACTAATTATTTAACGTGAACAGTGATGAGCCTTTCCAAATTCTACATGCTAGTCCTCCCAGTGATTAAAAAAAGGCAAAGCAAGATTTTCCTAGGAATACTAGATGCCTATACTAGAAATTTTAACTTTTCCATGATGGGGTCATAATTAAAAACATCTGACTTAGCAAATGCAGAACATGATTAACAGGCCCCTTTTAACTTAAAAAATAAGTAGTCATAACCTTATACAGCTGCGTTGAAAATGTCTCAGCATGTACAACTCTGTTTCCTAATGGGTTTTCTGCTGATATGTTGGTATGATGTAAATCTGTTGCATTTGCCTTGCAGACTGTGAAACCGAGAGTCTAGTTTCTTTCTATGGGGCGGTTTGGATTGGTTAAGTGGTACTCCGAAGCTTTGATGTCACCATCCTCTCTGCTGGGTCCAGAGCTCCTCTAAGCAGGGTGAATGCTTATTTACCTCGTGATGCTGAAAACTAGGGGTACCCTCTGGTCACACGGTAGGTAGCAAAGCTTGCCAATTTTCCTTCATTAAATTAGCTGCAGAATATTCTTTAAGAAATAATTGTATATTAATTAACACATGACTATTCACATTTCCAGGTGTAATATGAATTTTCAGTTCATACAATGTGTAGTAAGCAGATCAAGGTACTACTGGCCTGTTGGCCGCCTCAAACAGTTATCAACTCTTTGCAGTGGTCACATTCAAAACTCTGTCTGCTATCCATGTTGAAATATAAAATTGTTTAGAGTAATCTTGCTGTGCTACAGTGCGTTGACGTTATTCTCCCTCTCCCACTGACTGGGGAATAGTTTTACTAACAGGGCTGTCCCTTAATTCAAAGGGACTATGCAAATGACATCTGAAGTAGAGATCCTGACTTGGGACAGGCCACTTGGAACTCTTCAGTCCAGTGTTGCCATCCTGACTAGGTAAGCTGTCAGTCATGGGAAATCAGCTTTTCTGAATATCACCATTTGCGTTCACAGAGTGGGCTACACCTGCCTGCACTCAACCATGGGATGACTTAAGGAAAGCCACAGAATCGGTAGCGCTCGGCCTTGAATCTGGTGGAACACAATCGTCTTCAGAGAGGCTGCCCTTTGGCTGCTTTCCTTATAACCATGTGGAAATCTCTTGGGCAAAGAGCTACCCACCACATCAGGGTAGTTCACAGTGATATGCTTCTAACCATCTTCTTCTGTCTACAGCCCAATACCTTACCAGACTGACATACACAGTCAGAGGTTGAACAGTCCCAACTTGACCAGCTGCCAACTGGAAAGCTGAGAAACCAGTAGCAACTCAGTACAAGAAGCTGAAGCTTCAGAACAAAAGAGACCAGTGAAGTCCCCGGTGTGAGTCTGAGGACCTGGAAACTAGTCCCAAAGTTGCTGGTACAGGTCTGTATTCAAAAGCAGAGGAATCCAGATGATGCTTGGATGACAAGAGCAGCGCAAACCACACCTGCTCGTGAAGATGTGAGCATCCATGGAAACTTCCCTTTGGTGCACTCTCTGAATTCCATCCATACCCTGGCCTATTAGAGAGCCATCGCTTCCCCACTTGGCTTTCTGACGTATACATTAACCATGTCTGGAACTGCTCTCTCAAGAGTGGGCAGGTGGACACTGGAGCTGAACCACTGAAGCCACGGGGCCCCTCTGTTCTTCCCCTGAAGGAGACTTACATCCTGGTCTTCTATGCTTCTATCATCAATCTAACTATAGGCTCTAGACTCCAAGAAGAGCTATAGTGATAATTGCTTTACTCTCCCTAAGTGTTACATTTCTGTCTTTACTCTGTAGTCACACCTTCCAGAATGCTCTTTCTGATCACCTGCACTTAACTTTGCATGACATAGACTGTGGTTTTAGATGTTTGCTTCCAGGGAATGTTTGCATTTAATCTCAAGCAAACCTCAAACTCAAAGCAAAAAGACAGTTTCTCCCTTGGAATGTGTAATATGATGATTTTGAAAATAAAAGTGATAAGATGGGAATCTTTTGAAATACAGGATATAAAATCAGTTTTATATTTGTAGTTTATATAAAATTCACTAATGTCCTATTTTCCTGTCTTACCTAGGATCATAAAATTCTTAGCATATGTAAGTACACTGGAACATTCTCTGATAGGCATCGGGAGCTTAGACTGATCTAAAAATTATAGCCTGTTGAGGGGGCAGAATAAGAAATGGAACTAATTTCTCCCATCAACTCTGCAGAACGTGTAATCCATTTGTAACCTTCCTCACTTCTGCAGCCTAATGAAATGTCTCATCCCAACACTCACTCACTCTCCTCAGCAACTCTGATCCTACCATGCTGCTTGGCTCACCACAGGGACAGGTCCAACACACCCGCTGTCTCTCAGATCATGGGCTTTGCCCTCGGCAGCTCGTGTTAGAAACCACTGGTTTACTGCTTATCTGTCTGCCAAACTCAGGCAACTTTCTCAAAACATTGCAGTGCAAATATCTGGTAAATACTGTTTCTGATACAGCACAATTGCTCAATAATTCAAATCTGTCATATTACAACCTGATTTTAGGATCCGAGGGCTGAGATGCTGGAGCGGTTGATAGGTGTTTAGTCATGCTCAGAAGTGAACTGCCGACTGAGTCACCTGTTTTACTTCCTGTCTCTCTAATCATTTAAACACTATTCATTTGTCCCCACGGCACCAAGCACAAACTGTGTGCTCTTACCAATGTTTACTAACGTCTGCACTAGCTGTTACCAGGGCTCGATTTGTTGGAATATATCATGTTATTTCAGAGAAACAAAAATCAATCCAATTCTTCCCTTAAGTATTCATTTTGTTTCTGTGAGAAGAGAAGCCAATGGGACAGAACGAATAAATCCCAGACGCAGGACTGGCGGTGCAATGTCCAGCTACTCCTCAGAGAGAGGCTCAGAGGTCACAGCCAGGTTCTGCCCAAGTGAGATAGTAAAGGTCAGCCTTGCCTATTTTTGCCCTGTCAGAGAGAGAGAAGAGGCAGACACAATATACTTAAAGGCTCAGCACAGAATAGAGTAGAGAATGTCAGGGTTCTATGACTGTTGCTGTCTTAGAGTTCCACTGGATTCTAAACAGAGTCCATCTGTAGGAAATGTTGAAATTCCACACTGAGAAAACAGGAGGCACAGAACCCCAGGCTGGGTGGGAAGCAAGTCAAATTTAAACAAGACAGGAAGCAGGGTGTGTGACTTTGCATATGTAAATATCAATTGCACAAGCTCACTGAAACAAAGCACTTCCGAGCCCAGCACCAGTGTGAGCCCGTTCAGTATCTGCCTGAAAAAAAAAAAAACACAGATAAGTGACCACTGAGACAGTATTTAAGAAAGAAAGTTTAATTCATAGAACACAAGGGTACGTTTCTATTTCCTATGCATTTATTAGAATGAGGAAACTCTGATATAAGCAGTGGTTTGTTTAATTTGTAAGAAATGGAGGAGAAGCTGTGTCTGCAGAGACTGATGAGAGCTTTCAGTGCTGTGGAGAGACTGGAATGCTACAGGCCCAGAGGCTCCTCACATCATCACCTCACCCAAGGCTACCTTTACCCACCAGAGTACCCATTCTCTGCCCACCTCCCTGTCAGAATTGACATCTATGACCAATAGATGAACGTGCTCTACTGATAGCTTCCACCAAAACAAAAGCTAAGAGTGTCGCCAGACAGGGTTTATGGGCCTCTAGGAAGGCTTCCCCCATCTTGCTGTAACCAAGTCTTTGATATACCCACCACTGTGTTTTAAATCTGCCTTGATTTGTGACTTTGCTCTGGTAAACTGTAGAAAGCCATGAAGCTGCTTCCGAATTGGAATGTGGGATTGGGGTAGTCTAAATCAGGGTTCCTGGGTATGGCCACTCAGAATGGCTCCAGAATAAACTACCTCTCCTTCCCTTGAAGATGAGAGCTGAGGTTTTGTAGTAACAGGAGTGTATTTCTCTGTGTCCCAGATGTTGCTGTGAGGACTGGAAGGCCAGAGGGAAGGTAGCTGCTCATCGCTTCAGCAGGAAATAGGATAAAGCCAACCAGCACTTCAACATGGGTGCGAGAGGCTCGTGAGGGCCTACCCTTAGCTGAGAGGTTGATGGCTTTCGTGGGAGGGAGAGACAATTTTCGTCAGTGATGTGGTCAGCCATGTGTTGTTCATGTCCCAGTGGCTGACTTTACAAATGTGCACAGATCGGTAGCGGTTGTAGCAACTAATTAATTAATTAATTTAAAAGGAAGTGTCAGGAGAAGAGGGTAAGGGTGAGACTCTCTTAGATCAGAATATAAGCTGAGCTGTTTTTTTTTTCTAGACAGGGTTTCTCTGTGTAGCCCTGGCTGTCCTGGAACCCCCTCTGTAGATGGAACTCAGAGATCCTCCTGCCTCTGCCTGCTGAGTGCTAGGATTAAAGGTGTTCGCCACCACCGCCTGGCCTGCTGACCAGGCTTTTACTTGAGTTTTTTCCTCTCCCCAGCTCTAGGTCCTTTAGGTGGAAGAAGGGACAGTAGGTCAGACTCAGACAGATCAAAGAGAGCTCGGACAAAGGGAAAATGGCTGCAAGTGGTTAAGAGCATTTTACCACTGGGGTTGCAAGGACTTTATGAGTGACGAAGAAAGACAAGCCGGGGTCAGAAAACATTTGCATTCCCCTGAACACCTCCCGTTGCCGCCATTTCTCCATCACTTTTGGTCTGTCTCCACCACGAGTCAAAGACGGTCTTCCTTCGTCTTGGTAGAGTTTAGGCCATCAAGGTAACGCACAGCTGTGAGGGGAATAGGTAAGCAATGTGTTAGGTGCAGCACTGTGTTTCTAAGAGCACGCTGTGTCAGCAATCTGGCTTGAACCTGTTTCAGGGACGCCAGATCACCAAGTTCTCTTTTTGCAATACCCACATCTTGGAAATTAGGTTTATAAGATATTTTTATTGAACAGTTGGTTTAATTACAAACTTCATTTTGTTCAAATGGGTTTAGCATGAGGGTAGGAATGAGTTCTAGAAAGATTTATTGTTAGCTTATGTGATTTCAGAATTACAGAGGTTTTAGAAATCAAATAACCCAACATTCTCATTTCATAGTAGCAAGAGGTTAAAAGAGACAGACAAGGGCACAAAATGGATTCATTTATTTTAATGTATTTTATGGTCTTGGTTTAGCAGGCACATGTGTCAGACAATGGCAGTGTTAGAAGAATCTAGATACTCTTTCCTCTAAACCTCAAAATGAAGTCCAACCATCTCCCCGACAAGAAAATGTCCCAAGTGTGTCTTTGATGCATAACCAACTGAAATCCACGTCACTGCCTATTGGACAAATTGAAGGAAGCCTACGCTAGATTATGGCAGTCCAAGACACAGTTATAGCCTGACCAAACTTGCTCTTATCAACAATAAAGATGAGGAAAACGTGGGTGAGTCCTATAAGCTTCATTGCCAAGTCTGTCAGCTTACACGGCACAAGTGTTGAGTACCTGAGCTAGCCACGTTCTTGTTCCGGCTATAGGTCCAGGGAGAGACAAACCTGGTTCAGACCATGTGTATTAGGGACTAGGGGACTCTGAGGTGTCTGCATGCATAGGGAAAAGGACACAAATTGAAGGGAAAGTATACACACATGATTGAAAATGACATGAGAAAATGCAGAAGCGGTAACCCGAGGTTCTGAGCCATGCTGAGGAGCTTAGTTTTGTTCTGCTCCAGAAGAGGGTCCTTCTTCTATGGCTCTGAAAGATCTCAAATCTAGTGGGATATAGTACTTAAAACTGAACATTGGATTTCTGCGGTATATCCAGCAATCATTGGCAGCAGAATATGGGAGCATGGGATTCTGGTAAACGAGAAATGGAGCTGAGAAAACACGACGGGTGCTTGTAGTGGCCAAATGTTAGGACGGTGGCTAGAGATTTTGGTGGGTATCAAGAACTTCTCCAAACAAGTGCATAGCTTTTGGATCCAGCTTTGAGTTTCCATAAGAAACACACAGGCTCTTCAGTGTCCCATTGAAAACAAAATGGAAAAAAAATCTCTGGGAAACCAAGGATCTGGCTCAAGTTCAAAAAAGTTTAATGTATGGAAAGCAATGGGACCTCAGCCAACAAAGGGGCCAGGGAGGCAAGAGAGTAAGGATGCTTACATCACTTGTGTTACAACTCCTTTGGGAACTGCCCTCCAAGCTGTTATGTGTTTCCTTGAGTGGCTCATTTGAGATTTCCTGCCTTGTTGGGTCATTGCTGGCCTGAGTCTCTCCTCAGAAAGAGAGGCTCACCTCACAAGAAAGTGTGTGTGTGTGTGTGTGTGTGTGTGTGTGTGTGTGTACAGGGGTGGTTCTTTAGTCGATTTTCTCTGGTGAGACTGCCTGAGCCCAGGACTCCAGGGTAGTAGATGTTACCCTTTCATCATTGCTTTGGGAATTAAAGGTGAGATGGGCGAAATGGAATCAGACTTCATACATATGTTTGGGACTTTTGAAGCATCGAGAATGATACCTGTTACCACCTAAATGAGGGGAGATGTATTTTGGTTGAAATCTCAGAGGGTTAGGGCATGGTTGCCTGACCATATGGGCTTGGGCAGAGCATTGTTGAGGTGGGAGGATGTGGCAGAGGTCAGCCGTTGACATCACCACAGGCAGGAAATGGTGGCGGCAGCAAAGCCTCCAGCCAGGCCCTACCTCCATTCCCACAACCTCCCCAGACGATGCCACTGTCTGTAGAAGAATAAAGTGACACATCTAAACCACAGCAGATGTTTTACAATGGGATCAAGCAGCTGTATTTAAATAGTGCCCATTAACGGAGGCCAGATCTATCTGGCCATAGGCCAGATGTTAACATTTCATTTTACTTATGTCATAACTTTGGAACCTATATTTCTATTCTTCCTCAGCAAGTTTCGAGGCTTTTTCCTTCATGTCTATCTTCAGGCTGTGTTCTTACCATAGAAACAAGAACTTGAGTTTATGAGTAACCAGATCATTGAAATGAATGGAACCATAAATATCACTCTTAGC